TAACAGGTTGTCTCATCTTTGCTTTCAAGCAAAGTCACATAGCAATCACAAGGATACCAAACTAATTGCCTCTGATCAAATCAGAGAAATTTTACTGCAATCTTATGATTTCCTTTAATCATACTTGATCTCTCAAGATCTTCCTTTAAGAATCTCGTGAGGCTAAGGTTGTTAAGTGGAACAACATTTCTGTTTGTCACCTTTTGAAGCCATTTCTGAAACATCACAACAGAATTTCACTTCTGTGATTTCAGAAATTAAACTTAACCCTTAGAAAATCCCTCAGATAGAAATTTAATTCAAAACTAGTCTCACCATTTAACCTAGAATCGAACATGGTCAGGAATGTTCCCAGGAAGACTGGAGGGGTCACATTGGTCCCACTTAAAACCCAGTTAACCTTTTGACAAAACATCCAAGAGCATGTTGACTTCTAGTCCATAGGAAACAATTTTAAAATTAAGATTTCCAATGGATAAACCAGGTTATAACAAACCGATTTCCAAGCAAATAAAATTTGCTACCAGAATTACACCATTCATAAAAGTTAACCGGTACTCCCGAAACTGAGCCCATTATTTCTGAATAAAATCAGAAATATTTTAGCTAAAGCTAAAATTTGGTTTCCTTTCTCAAAACCAAAACACTTGGGACATAATCAGATTATAACCAAAGACTTTCTCCAAACTTGGTTTTCCAATACTTTGGGAATAAAATGATTAAACCCAAAGACTTCCTCAAACTCCAAAGGTTTGAAACCAAATCCGTCTTAGTTGTCATTTCTGAACAAATAAGAACTACTCTTTAGCCAAGGCTAAACACTTTGGTTTCTATTAGAGAAAACCAAACCAAATTCCAAATTTACAAGCAATTTAAAAATTGCTACAACCAAATGCATGCATATAAATTGCTACTAATATAACAAGCAAATAAAACTTGCTACCACAAATTGATAAGCAAACCAACTAAATCTCAAGCAAAACATGCTTCAAACATTTAAATAAAATAGCCAATCTATAAGGATTCTATTTAGTCCAAAAGCCTTTCCACGCTTAGGTATTTCTATTCAACACAAAAGTTAGTAGTCCAAACATTTTTTTGTTTTTTTACATCCCAAATACTATTCATTTGGTTTTGTATTTGTTTTTCCAATTCCCTTTTGCATTGGTATGCTTACAAAGAAAATTAGTAACAAACCACAACAAAATACAAACAAATAATCTAAGCAAAAAATAAATATAATAAATAATAGAAACCATCTAGCCAACTATTTATAAAATTAACCAATGAATTAAAATGCCAATTTAATTAAAACTTTAAAAAAAAAAGTTCAATACTCATGAGTTATGAATGAAATTAATTCATAATAAACATTTAAACTAATAACTCTAAATAAATAAGTTAAATTCAAAGTTAATGCACCCAATTAAATAATTCAGATTAATGCACCCAATTAAATAATTCAGATTAATGCACCCAAATAAATTCAAATTAATGGACCCAATTAAATAATTCACATTAATGCACCCAATTAGATAATTTAGATTAATGCACCCAATTAATTCAAATTAATCATGTACACAATTCATAAAAATTCTATAACTCTAAATACATTAAACTAAAATTAATAAGCAATAGTACAAACCAATAACCATTTAGCAATTAACATATGCAAATAATTCTAAAAACATTAAATTATGTAATCTAGTCTAGAAAATAATAAGTATGTAACAAATTAAAACTAGAATAGAATTAGCATGTCAAAATTGCAACATCCATAAATTATATTTTATAACCTTAAAATTCATACAAATTATGATAGAGAAGTCTTAACTAAACTAAGCAATTAGAGAGTACTATTGCATAATTTACAATCATTGAAATAGTGAGCAATTCCGCAACAATTCCTAGTAACATTATACAAAGCTAACCTAATAGTCTATATAAATCTATTCGATCAATTTCATAGAAAATATATATAAAATCTGTTTTAAGCTTGTTGTTCAAATTGTGAAATTAAATAAATAGATTTATGAAGAAATCAAATTATATACCAAGAACATATGCTGATAATTACAATTAAATTTCAACAGAAATACACAAAACAATAAAAGGGTAAAGAGATAAAATCGAAGCCTGCACGGAAGCAGTTTCCTTAAAACAGATTTCGCCGCCTCACGGGTCGAGTGCTTAAGGAAACCCAGCATCTGTCTCCCAGGATACGACAGTCAAAACCAGCTACGGCAGAAGCACTTTCTGTCTAGCTTAACGAACAAGAACAGTGGCAGCACTCTCTCAATGTTTTCTGGCAAACTGACTTGTAAAATGGAAGCAAAAAATTTCTATATTGAAACTTGATAGGAGGGTCTCAATTTATACATATAAAGGGGAGAGAAGAAGAGCCTCCAGCCTTTAAGGCTGGTCATTAAAACACCAAGCATCCATAGTCCCTTTCCAAAAATATGAAAGTTTGGATGCCCAAAGGATTCACACCCTTTAGCCAAGAAAAATGATTTAAATACTCTTTAAAATCCTATTCATGAATCTAACATCATGAGGCAATTTCTTGGCAATTTCTTATTCAAAACCCAATGATTTTTGGTTCACTTGGACCTAACACAATAAAAGGTTGGGACCCACTTTAATATTTAATTAAAGTCACCACACTTTAATATTAAATTAAAGTCACCAAAAATCATTTTTTCCAACAAAAAAATCATAGAGTTTGATAACAATTCCTCAATATATAAAGTTATATATTAGAAGTCCAAAAAAATGAAAAATAAAACTAAAAACAGTGGGACCGAATTCATATATATATATATATATATGTGTGTGTGTGTGTGTGTGTGTGTGTCATTATATATATTTTACCAGTCTGGCGAATTAGTTGGTCGCTGAGCTTGCATGGGAAGTGGTTATAACTGTTCCATCTGCAGTGCGTACCATAATATTCATTATTGCCACACAAGTATGAATGAATGATTCTGAATATATAATCTCATGTTTAAATTTATATGCATATATAGAGTTGAGTATATTGGACTTCATCTTTAAATTCCCAGCCTAAGGTGTTTAAAAATTTATTTGAGGGGTCTCAAATGACAATCCAAACAGGCTAATTAATGTGTACAAATTTTGTTTAGGAAGTGACAAATGGCACAACATATGTTATTTTTTTGAGAAAGAACCATTCAAGGTAGGTAGGATCATGATTCTCTGCAGTAGATGGCTCTCCAATAGTTTTGCTATGTAATCCAGCAATTTATGTTTAAAGTTTAAATAAAATTAAATCATTTTAGAGTGTAGTATTAAGGTCATTTTATTGAGCAATTCTTCCATGCAAGAAGACTAAGGACACATAACCACACCCATAGAACTAACTAACTAAAATATTCTGATTACACATATCAGATGGTGGGACCTATTATAAAAATATTATAGTTTCACTCAGATTATTTCATGTATATATGTTTTATGCAGTTGATTCCATGGTCCATTATAAGTTCATAGACTTTTAGTTCTTCCATGCAAGGAGGAGATGGTCAAGGCAGTGCCTTCCTCCATTTTGATTGATTTTGAATGTGGAGTCTATCAATTTGTGTATGAGGTGTATGACAAGAGAGGTGTTGATGATTAGTAATTGGTGTAACCTCACGTGATATCTTCTTGACATTTAAGATTTTTTTTTTCATTTTCTTCTAATTTTAACTTATCGTTGCATTATATACTTGGTTGACGTGTTTTATTATGATAAAAAAGCACAATAATATTGTTGTAGAAAAATCATAGCTGAGAAATAGACTCAACTAAGGATAGAAAACATCAACAATCATTTGCAAAATTACTAATATTAAATACGACTGTGTCAATTCCAAAGGGGCGTCAAACTTGCAATATATAGCCTTACGATTCATCACATGACAAAACCTTTACTACTAGAAGTAATGGTATACAAATTAAAACCAGCTGAATTGTTTCTCCAATTATATTATTCGATGAAGTCCTGTTTTAAATTCTGAAATTTTATCTTTGTGTGTCACATCTATTAGTATTTTTTTTTTTTTTTGAATTATTAATTTATATGGCATTAGCTTGTTATAAGTGGACAACCATGAAAGGTAATTCCACCGGGGAGGTGGGGGGTTGGGGTTGGCAAATAGCTGGGTATTGGTCGGTCCGAAAAAGTCTAGGTGAGTGTATGTGATGTAATTAAGGACTTAGCATCCTCTCTAAGCTGAAAATTTATTTTTTTTGTTCCATGTGGTAGAGTAACCTAAGAAACAATATTAAGATCGGTTATTTAGGGTCATTTTTCCCTTCTCTAATCCCTTTTAATTGTATTTGACAAATAAACCACTATATTTCTGTAAAAAAAAATTTGCTAAAATAACTAAGGGGGCAGATGAAAGTGTTTTCATTTTTGAATTGGTACAGATATCTATCATTTCAGCACATATCAGTTTGAAAGGGCGGCATGTGACTAGATACACTTCTAAAATGAAATTATTTGGCAATGTACCTGAAAGTTGTCCATTTATGAACACATGCAGAGCATGCCTTGTTGACTACACTATGAGAGTAGGCAGTTCACCAGCACGCAAGAATGATTCAGATGAACTGATATCAACATCATTGCATAGAGTCTGCAACCAATAGAATAGCACTTAAATTCAAGCAAAGAGACGGATATAAAAAAAAGCAGAACACAGGGTAGAAATTCTTTATGGAATGAAAGATCATTTGTTCTGTTAGAGGTAATAAAAAGTGATAAGGCACTATGCTGACAATAGAAAGCAAATTAAACACGTCCATATCATCAAATCTTGAACTCCTATAACAACCAAATAGGTAATGAGTTAATGACTTCTGTTAAAGGAAAGTGAGAAATCCTGGAAAAGCAACATACAGCTCTTGGACATGCAAGTAACCATCAGCCATGACTGAATCAAAGCATAAAACTCCTCTCCAGGGGGACGTACATGGATCTCCTTTATTCCAATTCTTGAGATGCTTAGGATCAACTAAATTGCTCTTGATCGCTATTAATGCAGAGACTGCAAAGAGAACAAATCATCAGCTAATTCTCATCATAAACTAATTTACAAATAGAAGGTCCAACTATCTCTACAGCAAGCATGAAAATGGGAAAGTTGATGGTATCAGTCCCATTCCTAGTTAAATGCACAAATAATGTGAGACACACACACTCATCAAAATATAATTAATTTTAAAACCTATTATCCCTAATATAACACACAAACATGTATACACAACATGTAATTGCTTCAGTTATCAATATGTTTTAAAGGAAAAAATATAGAATGATTCTCAGTTCTATTTTGGCACTAGAAGTGAAAAAATAATAAATTAGATGCAATGACCTTATCGCATGTATTGAAATCAAAAGAAGTGGATGAAGAAGTCAAGGCTTGTAATCTACATCAGTGCATGCTTGCGAATTAACTTATGTAGCCGGTTCAAATCATGGGAAACAATAGTTATCTAGAAAATTCTTGTGTGACTGCAAAGTCCATAACCCGCTTTCAAAGAGGGATACACACCATATCCCAATTAACCAAGTGAAACTTGAATTCAACTCCTAGGCCACCCAATAAAAAGTTCCTCTAAAGCTTCTCTAACCTATTCACCACCAAGACAGGAATGGTCAAGAGAGCAACAAAATAAGAAGGAAAAATACATAAAGTACTCTTAATTAGAGTTAGCCTTCATCCCTTTGAAAGGCATTGCCTCTTCCAAACCCACGTAGTTAATCATCTCTCAAAATGTTCCACCACACTATCCCTAACCAAAATGGCCTTGAAAGAAGAGCCAATCAAAAGTTTCAGATGCAGTATAGAAAGAGAATCAATCCTAAAGCCCAAAACATTTGCCCTATATTACATGAACTCTTCAAATTAAATCAATTACTTGTATCAGACACTCAACATCTAGGCAAGAGTATGGGATGAGTTCGATACTTTCAATCAGATATGCGCTTAGCAGGCATTTCCATAGATTCACTTTTGTTATATAATAATTGCATTTAACACTATCATTAAAGCATACGTGATGCAATACTCATGAACAATGAGAACATTAGAGCATATTGAGGTTATGAAATAAAATTCATAAATAATAACTAGTATGTTATATCCCTTGGGGTGTATTAAAACTGAAACAGACCTACAACTAGAATGAATGACACAAAGTTTAAAGAATAGTACAATTAAAATTTACCTTCAGAGGGATCGGTAATTTGTGCTACGGCAAGGAGCATGAAGCAACAAAACGACACCGCAGAAAGTAATTCACAAACTCTCAGTCCCATCATCATGATGCCCTACAAATTAAATGATAAAAAGAAAAACATTCCATATGGCCATCTATCATTCCATATTAAATTCAAATCCAATTACTTCAATAGCCAAAAAGTGAAAAGAAAAGAGGACTAATTGGTCATCATGTAAAGTGCTACAAAATATGTATTTACGAATACATATTATCATCTATAGCTACATATCCATTTTCCTACAAACAATGATGAAAAGGAACTTTATGCCATATGGTCATCTATCATCCAATATTAAATTCAAATCCTCATATCCATTTTCCTACAAATAAAATGATGATGAGAAGGAAATTATCCCATACCATCTATCATCCTATATTAAATTCAAATCCAATTACTTCAATAGCCAAAAAGCGAAAAGAAAAGAGGACTAATTGGTCATCATGTAAAGTGCTACAAAATATGTATTTACGAATACATATTATCATCTATAGCTACATATCCATTTTCCTACAAACAATGATGAAAAGGAACTTTATGCCATATGGTCATCTATCATCCAATATTAAATTCAAATCCTCATATCCATTTTCCTACAAATAAAATGATGATGAGAAGGAAATTATCCCATACCATCTATCATCCTATATTAAATTCAAATCCAATTACTTCAATAGCCAAAAAGCGAAAAGAAAAGAGGACTAATTGGTCATCATGTAAAGTGCTACAAAATATGTATTTACGAATACATATTATCATCTATAGCTACATATCCATTTTCCTACAAACAATGATGAAAAGGAACTTTATGCCATATGGTCATCTATCATCCAATATTAAATTCAAATCCTCATATCCATTTTCCTACAAATAAAATGATGACATACAGCTGTATTAAAATATCTGCAAAAGCAGATGAATAGTAGTCGGCTGCTCAAAATTGCCATTTTGACAAAATTGACTGCCGACCGGCAACAAATAATGCCGACCGGCAATATACATTGCCGATGGCAACAAAATACCAGCCGGTGGCCTCTGGCCATGGCCGGTATTGTGTGGGGATGCCTCATAAGGCATTCCCTGCCCCTCCAAGGCAAAACACAAGTGTTTGGTGCAAAACCAGACACATCGCGGTCGAATCGAGAGATCCTGAGGCAAGGCGCGCAAGCCGAGACCTCCGGGAACTCAAGACGAACACAAACATGGATGATCACCGGGTGTTGAAACGGTGACGTCCAAGTCTTGAGGACGGTCAAAAATGGGGTGTCTACACCTAGCTTTACAGGTGCTAGTGAACCTTAATAATTGATCAACCTTGATCACTCCAACCAACTAGTTGTGAATCCAGTGCTAGTCACACCTAACCTAAGTGATTTTATATAAAAAAATCACTCACAAAAATATAACTCTCTTTTACAAGAAAAATGATAAGGGATTGAAAACCCTTTTTCAATAAAAGCTCAAAACACTCAACAAATTTCTCTAAAAGAAATTATATAGCTCAATGAAAATGCACAACACAATATTTTAAGAATTCTTGAATATTGCCCACAATTTTTCACCACTTCTATGTCTTTTCTTTTCTCCACAAAGCTTCTTTCATAGCCATAGAAAAAACTAACCGTTGCAAAGAGATTCTAGGTAGGCTCCTCTTTCCTTCTATTTTTCTTCCATCTAAATTCATTCGCTTTTTGGACTTGCATCATTCTTGTCAAGAAACATTTCAAATCAATCAAAGGAAGAAAATGAATAAGAAAAAATATGGAAATGATTTGAATTTTTTATATATATATTAAATTAAAATATTCAAAAGATGCACAATAAATTTAGTTATTTTTAAATCAGTGCAATCTATATCAAAATGACAAATTTTATTTTCATATTTTGTGTCAAATGATTGTGACAAATATATTTAAAAAATCACAATTTATCTCATAATATTTTAGACATCATCAAAATCAAACCATAGGATTAACAATCTCCCCCTTTTTTATGATGGCAACAAGTATGGTTTTGACACAAAATTAAAATCAAACAGTAGTTTCATTTATGAATTACAGTAACAAAGATATTTGAAAATTGAAGTATCAGTGCAATTCAAGTTCACATTTCTTCTCTCCCTTTGACATCATCAAAATAAATGGTTAATGCGGGTGAGGAGTAAGAAAAAAATATTTAGAATAATGTGAAAATATAATTTTTTTTGAAACAACTCCCCCTGTATTGTGAATATTTAAAAAAGCTTCCCTCCCAAATCATGGATATATGAAAAAAAAATCACAATAGAAATGTTGGAATTTATTTTTACATTAAAATCGTCACTACTCCATATCAAACCTAATAATCCAAGATTTATAAATATGACTTAGAATCCAGAATTTAAGAAATTGGATTAGACATTCCAAGTTCTTTTCAAATAAAACAAAATTGATTTTCATTTAGGGGCTTTGTGAAAATGTCCGCCAATTGCTTGTCAGTGTTTATAAATTCAAGCACAATATCCCCTTTTTGAACATGATCGCGTATAAAATGATGTCTAATGTCAATGTGTTTAGTTCGAGAGTGTTGAATTGGATTCTTTGTCAAATTTATTGCACTTGTGTTATCACATTTAATAGGAACATGATCATAATGCAAATTAAAATCCTCCAATTGCTATTTCATCCATAATATTTTAACATAACAACTTCCAGCTACTATATATTCAGCTTCAGTAGTGGATAAAGCAATTGAGTTTTGCTTCTTACTAAACCAAGATAGTAAAGCAAGTCCTAGAAATAGACAAGTTCCACTAGTGCTCTTTCAGTCTACTGAACTACTAGCATAATCGGCATCCGAAAAACCAATTAGTTCAAATGAGACACCTTTAGGATAAAATAATCCCAAGTTTTGAGTACCAGCAAGATATCTAAAAATTCGTTTAACAACAGATAAGTGTGATTCTTTTAGATTAGATTGAAATCTACCACACATGCATACACTAAACATTATATCGGGCATACTTGCCGTAAGATAGAGTAAGGATCCAATCATATCTCGGTATTTCTTCTCATCTACCGGCTTACCATGTTCATCTTTGTCAAGCTTTGTTGATGAATCATTGGAGTTCCCATTGGCTTTGTGTTTTCCAATCCATATTTCTTAAGTAGTTCTTTTGTATACCTGGATTGGTTAATGAAAATCCCATCTTCTGTTTGCTTGATTTGAAGCCTAAAAAAATATTTTAGTTCACTCATCATGCTCATTTCGAACTCACCTTGCATGCACTTAGCAAATTCCTTACATATAGTTTCATTAGTAACTCCAAATATAATATCTACATATATTTGTATAATAAGAAAATCATCATTTTTGGTTTTAACAAAAAGGGTTGTGTCAATCTTTCCTCTAGTAAAACCATTTTCAATAAAAAATTTACTTAAGTGTTCATACCATGTACAGGGTGCTTGTTTCAAACCATATAGAGCTTTTGAGAGTTTAAAAACATGATTTAGAAATTCATGATTTTCAAAGCCAGGAGGTTGGTTAACATAAACTTCTTTTAAAATATAACCATTAAGAAAAATACTTTTAACATTCATTTGATATAGATTAAAATCTTTAAAACATGCAAATGCTAAAAGCATACGAATGGCTTCTAATCTTGCTACAGGTGCAAAAGTTTCATCAAAATCAATACCTTCTTCTTGATTATATCCTTGTGCAACTAATCTAGCTTTATTTCTAATAATAATACCATATTCATTGAGTTTGTTTTGAAAAACCCATTTTGTACTAATAATGGAGTGGTTTTGAGGACAAGGGACTAAATCCCAAAGTTGGTTTCTTTCAAATTGGTTTAATTCTTCTTGCATTGCTAAAATCTAATTTTCATCATTTTTAGCTTTAGAAAAAGTTTTAGGTTCAATTTGAGAAATGAAGGGTAAATTACCACAAATATTTCTAAGAGAGTTTCGAGTTATTATACCTTTGGGAGGATCACCTATAATTTGATCCATGGGATGATTCCGTATAAATTTCCATTCCCTTGGCAAATTTTGATTGTCTCCACATTGATCTTCATGAAGTTCTTTCGGTTCATCTTTTTTACATTCATCAATTTTCTTGGAAATATCTAAGTTTTCCATTTCTTGCTTAATATCTGCATCAACATTGCTTGCAATATTATTGGAAATAGAAAAGTTAGATTCATTAAATACAATATGTATTGATTCTTCAACAATTAAAGTTCGTTTGTTAAACACACGTTATGCTTTACTTGTTGGAGAATAACTAAGAAAAATAGCTTTATCAGATTTAGAATCAAATTTTCCCAAGTTATCTTTGCCATTGTTCAAAACAAAACATTTACAAAGGCATGAAAATGACTTACGTATGGTTTTCTTCCTTTCCATAACTCATATGGGGTTTTCTTTAAAATGGGTCTAACCATAGCCCGATTTACAATGTAACAAGCAGTATGAACGGCTTCGGCCAAAAAATATTTTGGCAGAGAGTTTGCACAAAGCATGGTTCTAGCCATCTCTTCTAGGGTCCTATTCTTCCTCTCAACTACACCATTTTGTTGAGGAGTTCTAAGAGCCGAGAAATTATGGTCTATACCGTTTTCATTACAAAAATTTTCAAAAGAATCATTGTCAAGTTCTCTACCACGATCCATCCGTATACTTGAAATAATAAAAACCTTTTTCATTTTGAAGCTTCCTACATAATTTGAAAAGCTTGGAAAAGCTTCATCCTTATGAGCTAGGAACTTAACCCATGTAAATCTAGAGAAATCATCAACTACAACAAGAATGTATTGTTTGCCACCAAGACTAAGTGTCCTTGAAGGACCAATTAAGACCATGTGTAATAGGTGCAGTGGTCTAAAAGTTGAAATAATATTTTTTGATTTTAAAAAAATTCTAGTTTGTTTTCCTTGTTGGCATGCATTACATAATTTGTCTTTTTCAAAAAAAAAAAAATTAGGAAGTCCAATGACTAAATCCTTTTTAGGAAGTTTTGAAATTAAATCCATGTGAGCATGACCAACTCTTCTATGCCACAACCAACTATTATCACTAAGTACAGAAAGGCATGTAATATTAA